TTGTTACGACTGAATGGACTTTTCGATTCTCTATCCAACGATGCCAAAACGAATTCTGTGGCTCGAATGGTTCTTGAGAAACTTCGAATAAGTCATTCAGTTATTAGTTAAGTGATAAACTGAAACTCAGTGAGTGATGGAAAAATGTTTTGGCTTTGGGTAGACTGATGAAGGAGCAGGAATCACAACTGCAGCTCCTAAAGGAGCTTTCGAAGGAGGTCGAGCGCCTCAAGTCGGAGCAACGCACCCCCGCCCTGCCCACTACTAGTGAGACGACCTTGCGGCTGGAGGAGTTGCACGAAGAGATGGCTCAGCTGCGCGAGGACAACTCGCATCTGCTAGAGGCGAATGAGGAGTTGCAGGCCAGTTTGCTGCATGCCGGCCTGGAAACAGGCCGGATGCTGACCAATGGCGAGAACAGTCTGGCCCATGAACTGGACATCATGTCCCAGGACGAGGTATGTAGGTGTAGGAAAAACGAACAAAACCCCCGTTTCGGCGTGGGGTGGCGGTCACGTCCAATTAAGAATCTATTCCTCAACATTGCAGGTGCAAAAGGCCCTCAAAGAGCAACAGGAAGTTAACCGGCAACTGAGGGCCTACATTGAGGGCATTTTGCTGAACATTGTCGAGAACCATCCGCAGCTTCTAGAAGTGAAGCAGCAAGCGAAGAATGGCTTGAAAAATTAGCAACATCCCACAAAACGGGCGGGAAAATTTCGTTCACTTTTTTACCACATATGGCTAAAAAAGTGTTCAAATGTCCAGTCGGGTAAGAGCATACATACAGAGTGGCCCAAAATGATGTGTGTTTAAGACCAAAAAGTCAAAAAATGGTGCGTTCTGTGCAATTTATCCCAACCGCCCTTGAAACACTCGTTTAGCGCTTCATGCGGTCGATCGAAGCCGTCCCTACTGATGAAATGTGATAACTCATTTGAATCACTGTGATTTTTTGTGAAGATTTGATATCATGTTGCGTTTGTTTTATCAACCTAACGGTGGCCTGATTGATTGAAACTGGAGAATTTCCAAACGGCAACTGAAAATCAACTTTTTTAGGATTTTTCAACAGTTGCAGTTGAGTTGTGCTTCAATTCACAGAAGAATTGCTATGCATACGTGTTTTTATTGGCGCAATTGACTGTTGTTATTGTTTGTGAGAGTCACTATTGCATGTTGCAAAGGGTCCACGTTCTATTGATATTCTGTACATACTGTTTATACTAAGTAATTGGAACGCGATCTGTTTACCCGTTTAAGTTATTAATGAAATAAATAAAAACAGATTTCTATTTTATATTAAACAATGTTTTATTGAAGACAGGGACAGTCGTGCAGCGATTGATCGGAAGAGTTAGAAACGTTACCTCAATGCAATCATTAAATACAGCGAATCGTGTAACAATACTTAAACATTTGTATAGAATCCAAATAATACTTTAATAAACAAGCAAAAGCTAAGCGCAAGGCCAACGATAAAAAACAAGGGTCCAAATCCTGGCCACTTGGATACGGAGTGCCAACAAACAGCCCGTAGGTGGAACCTCATTCAACCAATTCCACATAGTTTGCAGGAAATAGCCCATAGGTGATTCCATCAGGAGCCAGGCCTTGCCACCAGCCCTCATCCACTTTCTCAATGTTCGTTATAAAATCGCCAGGATCGAAGGAAATTTCCGTATCGTCAGCTAAAAAGGCCCATTGAGTGAGTCACTCAAAGCCCCCAACCCGCTTTCGCTCACCCGCTTGATAGTCGTACAAAGCCCTGGCCTTATAGCCGTCCTTTGCCATCCCGAAAATGTACTCATCGACAAAATCCTGCTCTAGCATTTGCACTGTTTGCTCGACAAACGGCGAACTGTCGCCTTTATCTACACTCGTAGGCGAAGCCGCGCTCTCTGCAGGCTTGGCGGAAGAATTCGAAGAATCTTTCGGAGACCTGCATAATACCACCGATTCCAGCGGGTAATTTAATGTATTTGCACTTGTTTGTCACCTTTTGATTGTGGCAAATTGGTCACACTCGTCGTCGCTGCCAGCCTGAGCAGGCTCAGGAGAAGAGCTGGCGACAAACAATCAAAGCAATGGAAGGCAAACTGTTGGTTCCTCTACTTACACGCGTAGATTACTGGCTAACTTTGGTAGGTTGTTGCATTGAGCGTTGGCTTTTAAAATGGAGGCCCGCACTGGCTTTTCTGGGGCCACATTCTGCCTCTCAGTCTCTTGTTTGAAGTTGTCCCGCTCGCTTTGCTTGAACTGGTCGATTTTTTCGTTGCGCAGCTCGGCTTCTTGCTCGCGATTTTTCGTGTCGCTTTCTAAAACCACTTCACGTGAAAATGGCGCCACCGAATCAACTCAACTCTTGCCACCTTCCTGGCGCTGCCTTTCCACTTCCAGGCTGAGCTGCTGCTCCTGTTTCTTCTGTCTTTCCTGCTCCAAGCGCCGCTTTTCCTCCTCCTCCTCCTTCTTCCAGAACTTATCTCTTTCGTGAGAGTTTATCTCTTTGACGGCGTTCACTTTTTGGTACCGTGTGCCTACAAACCCACTTACCTCAAGCACCCCGATGCTGTTTAACTGCGATTCTTACCAACAGGCAGAGCGCGTTCAACGGGCTCAACTTTCATTTTAAACCGATACTCTGAGCCATACATTTTCAGCTTCTCAATTAGCAAGTCCTCGTCCACTTCGTCCTCGTTTCGCGCATTGTAGGTGAGGTGGGCCCCCGGGAAGAATTTCTCCACATCTCTCAAGTGGTTGGCGCAAAGGCCTTTCCTCACGGTGTTTGCACCTTCCCCTATACCAAATACAAACCGTCTGCAATCTCAAAAAGCCCCTTGGCTGGGACAAGTCAAGTACCTTGCCAGTTAATCAAAACGCACTTATCCAGGGACGTGGATGGATCGTTTAACTTGACAAAGGCATACATGATTTTGCCGGAGCTCAAATCCTCCTTCAGCTCGTTAATGCCTCCGTCTCCTTGGCTGACCAACTTGAGGACGTTGGAGTGGCCCTCATAACCAAATAAGGCCCTTGAATCGCAAAAACGCCCAATAAGGAGCTAATTTGCATATTTTATTGCCACACCAATTGATAAATTGCAGTGGTGACGGCCTTACAGGTGGCTCCTAACCTGAAAACTCACCAGTTCGTTTCGGTTTTTTCACTCAGCACGTCCCTCCAGGCCTCCTTTAGGGCCCCACTGTTTCTTCCCAAATCGATCGTCATTTCCCTCTTCTATCACCGGCCTAGTTTATCCAAATTTTGCGGGCAGACGATTTTTTTTGCATGTTTTGCTATTTTTTTACCCAAAACTGACGTTTACGACACGAACATGAATCACATCACGTCAACATATGCAAAGTCGAGTTGCCACAACTCTTTGCTCATGAGCGCCTATCTGCCTCTCTCTGGTTGCGTTGGCTGTTCGTCCTGTTCCAATATGTAATTAAACCTCACTCAAACTCCCACTGTTGGCAACAAGGCGGAAACATCCGTCACATATTTGTTTACAAGCCCGATTTAACCTCACTAAGTTTTGACAAGAATTGCCCAACAATGAGTTTAAAAACGTTGGAAATTGCACCAAACCGGCTTTTAATGGACTCGAATTTCGACGGTTACAAACTGTCCTTAAAACCGATAAAACAGTCGCGTAAAAGCCTGCAAGTGCCCGTAGAGAAGACATGTGTAAACCCGAGCCAGTACAGTATCGTGCACGTAAAGCTCCTCAGTTTGCACAATCACCTTTGCGTGGACCAATTCGACGGATTCTCCTCCGTTTATTTCGTCGATAAACAGCTAACAATTCAGAAGGTTTATGTGGATGCGGGGACAAATGAGCTTGTTGATCCAGTGGCTGTCTACACGATGTCGAAGCCCCGAGAACGACTCAGTGGGGACTACGGTGTAACTTTACGATTCGCCAGTGCCGACTATTGCGTAGCCTCAGACGGAATAGGCACTTTTTACATTCTAGCCACTAAGGATAAAAGGGACGATGATCAATTCGACACCCTGTTCTCGGGCCATGTATTGAGCAACGAGAGCCAGGGCTTTGTAGTATCAGATGCGTCGTTCAACGACGCCAAACAGGAACTTCACGTGCTCCTGTTGCACGTCCAGGAGCACGGAACAGACGGATTCATTTCGATCATTCATTGGATAACATTCAAAAAGACTCAGAAGGATTGGCACCAAGTGGCTCTGAGACAGCTGAAGACAAAAGGCGAAGTGCAGTACTTGCAGTTGGAGAGCGATTGCGACCACTTATACGTCGTCTCGGAGAATCTGGTGGTTTTTGCTTTGAACTCTGAGCACCCAATTGAAGAAACCCCACTGGCAAGCAGTGGGAAGTTGTACCACTGGTCGCAAGACACTGATGAAATCACTGTGAAGATTCCGCTGCCAGAAACAGCGCAGAAGAATCTACTGAAAGTCTCCTGCGGGGGGAGTGAACTGAATGTCGAATATAACTCACTCAGAGTGCTGTCGGGCACATTTCAGGGTTCTGTGGACTCCGCCTTAACAACTTGGAGTCTGAAGGGGGATCTTTTGGAGATTCAACTCGCTAAAGCAGATAAGGAGTATTGGACGCAACTGCTCGCGGGCTACGATGAGGGAGAGCAGGATCTCAGCCCAAGCTATGTGGATGAGGTCCATAACCGACTTCAGGGATTCACAAGCAAACGGGAGGAAACGCCACAGCGTGGCGCCACGTTTAACTCCCAGCCAATAGAGGAGTGCGACTTTGAGACTGATAAGGCGGAGACCTTTCAGAGAATAAGCGGGGTAACAAATAAACCCACCCATCAGGTTCATTTAGGGTCCCACCATGTACTGTTAAGCCCATTTTTGGACTCACAATCCGTACCCGCTTTAGGTGAGTAGCGGACTGCTTTGTTGCAATCAACTGAGGCAGCACTGGTTTTAGGCATAAGGCACGATGTGGACGTTTGCTTGTGGCAGCCCACTTGGAATGGGCAGGATTTCACTTGCCAGCACCAGGGCACTTTACTGGCTTTTGGATACGTGCAGGTACAGGATTTTTTAATTTAAACTCCCCGACCACCTCGCTAAACCCCGTTGTTTCAGGCGTCTAAAACCAACAGAAAGTTCCTCACATGCTCTCAGAACCTGGACTATGCCGTAGTGAGCGAGTCTGCGGGTCACATTTTTATTTACCGGCAAAACAGGCCCTTGCTGACCACCGAATTGAGGCAGCGCTCGACCGGGAGGCGCGTTAAGCGAGTGGCAGAACAACAGGTTATCAACCTATCGAATGAGAGCATTTTAGGGATTTTTGCTGGCGACAGCCACCTTTTTGTATTGGGCGAGGACTTTGTGACTGCTTTCAGCATGAACGTGAACAACGACGCACTATAGCTCTTACCTAAGTTTAATAGCCAATGAATCTATAATGGAGATTATCGCATTTCACTAGCCCTAAATGTGCCTTATGACTTAAACTGGGTAAATCTCTAGTCTCCTTCAATCATGAGATGATCCAGTTTGAGCTCTTTTCCTTTGACCGGTTTGGGTTTACCGGATCTTTTTTCCTTTTTGGCCACTTTCTGTCCAATCACATACTCGGGCATCACTAGCTTTGCGTTTTTATACGAGGGTTTTTGCGCTGGTTCAGAGCTTGTCGGAGCTTTTTCCATTATCATCACAGGTTCAGCGGTGCCTGCAACCGCAACATTAAATTTAATCAACGTTCTCCAGTTGAATCAGTTACCTGATGTTTCTGTCAGCCGAATGTGCTTGTTGAAGACGATTTTCGAGGGCAATTCCCCCAGCTTCTCCTCAACGATTCCCTTCTCCAGCTTTTTCCGGTTTGCCAGCTCCCGTAGGAACTCCATCGCGGATTTGGCATTGCTTTCTTCTGTAACTTCCTGGACGTCTTCAAGGGAATACCTTGTCCATTTGTGCGGGTTTTTCTTGAAGTCTGGTATTCTAAAAGGGCTTGGCTTGAGGGATTGCTCGAAAGGCAATCAGCGCTTACTTGTTGATGTAGCTTTTAGGTGCGGGGTTCTGGGGCCGTTTGAAAATGCTCTCTTTTCCTCTGAAAGCCCGCGTTTGGCTACGTTGAGCACTGCGGTCATCTCGCGGGCCTCCGGCGCTGTCACTGGACGAGTTTGTGTTTTTGCGGTTGTTTTCCAACACCATCAATTGGTCGAAGACCTTTTTCTGCCGATCTTTGAACTCCGGATTGCCCGTTTTTAGTTTAAATACATCCATGTTGGGGCTTGCAAAAGGTAAACATTCCATCGACATTCACTTTGGCATTTGGTTACCACTGTTGCCACTAACTGCACAAAAAAATTCCATTGGCCAAATGCAGATTGAAAATCACACTTCACTGATCTTCACTTCAATCTTTCACTTGCTTCTAGCATCTAGCGACAAAGCCGCTGAAATTTCAACTGCAACGAGGGATGCCTGACAGCCTGACGCTTTTGCTAACCTCACTTTATGGATTTGTATACGTTTCCGCTTTGGTGGAATATGTACACGTAAACATGAATTGTTGGAGAGATTAGAGGGATTTAGCGCTGGTATTTAATGAATAATCTTCACACAAGCTTTGAAGACGTGGTGGAGCTTCGATGCCGAGCGATCGCGTTTGTCTACGACACAATTTGCCAGCAAAGTAGCCTCCAGTAGCTGTTTGCCATTTTGAGACAAGCTGATTGGAGTTTGAAGACCTTTCGAGACCCCATTGAGTAAGTTTGTGAACTAGAATCCATTAATTTGTATGTAGATTAATTAGTCAATTTGCACGGTTTTATTCTCAACTGTTAACGACTCGACAAATCCATTGCCAAAGTAATAAAGTTCGTAACTATCGTGGACTAGAGTTGCTCAACTCGCACTCCTATGTGAAAACAACTATCTTTAGAATCGCCGAATTCCTGATAAGTATTTAATCGTTTTCTCGCAACGACTGCAAAGTGAACGCAGATTGCCGATGAATAGTAAAGATCAAAGCGCGTCCTCGGGCTTGAGATGGTTCAACAACCATCCAAAAACATGCCAAGGCAAAGGTAAACACTTCACTTTGTTTTCTTAGTTCTATTGATAGCCACTGGACTTGAAGCGGCGAAAATGGTAGTGAAGAGTATATGCTGTTTGGGGGCGGGCTACGTAGGGGGGCCCACTTGCAGTGTAATCGCCCTAAAGTGCCCTGAAATCAAGGTGACGGTCGTCGACAAGAGCAAGGAAAGGATCGCCCAGTGGAACAGCGATAAGCTGCCAATCTACGAGGTGATATAAGAGCCAACAACTATTTGCTATTAAGAAAAAAGACTCAATAGATTAAAAGCCCGTTATTATCAGAGCAATAAAGTGATTTGATTAATCAATTTGAATGCCTTAGCCGGGTCTGGACGAAGTGGTGAAGGCGTCAAGAGGTAAGAACCTGTTTTTTTCCGATGACTGCGATGCGGCCATAGTGGAGGCGGACCTGATTTTCATCTCAGTTAACACTCCAACCAAGACGTTTGGGAATGGAAAAGTAACGTATTCAGCTGGTGAAAGGTCGTGGTTTGAAAATGAACCTTTCAGGGCAGAGCCCCCGATTTGAAGTTCGTGGAAGGGGCTGCGCGAATGATTGCCAATGTGGCCAAAAGTAACAAAATTGTTGTGGAAAAGAGCACTGTTCCCGTAAATGCTGCCGAGAGTGTCATGAAGATTTTGAAGGCCAATCAGCGACCTGGAGTGTCTTATCAGATCCTAAGCAATCCCGAGTTTCTTGCCGAAGGCAAGTGACGAAAATATGAAACTGTTGTCAGTCTTGAAACGTTCATTTGCCTGCAGGCACTGCGATAAATGACCTGCTGAATGCGGACAGAGTGCTGATAGGCGGAGAGGAAACAGCCGCAGGCGAAGCTGCTATTGAGGAGCTTTGCAAGATCTACGAGCACTGGATTCCACGCAAGAAAATCTTGACCACGAACACTTGGTCCAGTGAATTATCTAAGTTGGTAAATACTCAGAGGACGGGAGATTGTTACTTAAACTAGTAGTAAAAATTGCGGTTTTCCAGGCCGCTAATGCTATGCTAGCGCAGAGGATTTCCAGCATCAATTCCTTGTCAGCAGTTTGCGAAGCAACCGGCGCTGATATTACTGAAGTAGCCAGAGCGGTTGGGCTGGACTCACGAATCGGCCCCAAGTTCTTGCAGGCCTCCATTGGTAAGCCATGATAATGATAAAGCAATCAAAGCCTCAAATCGCGCATTGCTTAAACTCATTAGGGGACAGTCGGGCTTGTGCTATTATTATCCAGGGGATTGTTTAATTAAATTATTTATTTCAATTTATGGGTTTCGGTGGGAGCTGTTTCCAAAAGGACATTCTCAACTTGGTGTATATCTGCGAGTGTCTCAATCTGCCCCACGTAAGTTAGGTTTCGTATTCATCCAACCAATGCCAAGATTGAGGTTTTATAGGTGGCAGCGTATTGGCAGAGCGTGATCGACATGAACCAGCACCAAAAGCACCGATTCACCGCCAAGGTGATCGAAAGCCTATTTAACACCGTCAGTGGCAAGAACATTTGCATTTTGGGATTCGCCTTTAAAAAGAACACCGGCGACACCAGAGAGAGTGCCGCGATTTACGTATCAAAAACTCTAATAGACGAGGGTGCTTCCATCAAGATCTACGATCCAAAGGCAAGTGTATTTTCATTGCAAACTACTTCAACTACTGTCTGGTCTAATAGTGGGTTTAGAACTGGATTAAAAATCCTTTTATGTTCTAAAAATGAGCCTGTTTCGATCGGTAGAACGGATAACTCATCACTCTGTAATGCAGGTAGAAAAACCTCAAATCTACGAAGACTTAAAGTATGTGGGGGTGACCGATGAGCAGTTCCAAAGGCACGTAACTATTTGCAACGACGCCTATTTAGCCACTAAGGAGTGCCATGCGGTGGTTCTTTGTACCGAATGGGACGAGTTTGTGGTGGGTATTTCCAATACGCGATACCATTGCCGTGATTGGCGGATCTTCACGATTCCAGACCTTGGACTACGAGAAAATTTATGACCAAATGATGAAGCCCGCCCATATGTTCGACGGCCGCAAAATTCTGGACCATAACAACCTGTTAAGGATCGGCTTCCATGTGGAAACCATCGGCAGCCGTCTCGGGCAGCCGTTTAAGAACCGACGCTACAGCATCAACCCGCAAGTTGTATAAGGTAGTCAAAGATGCTGCAAATATTTGCCATTTATCAATGACTTTCTTTCCTAGGTTTTCAGGCTACACAATTTGTGCAATACAGTGAAAAATGTCATTAATAAACCCGCTTGGTCAACATCTGAACTCTATGAAGCAGTGCAGGCATTTAAGTATATTCTTCCGGTTTTCAACAGTGAAGCGTTTTATTGATGACGTTTTTGCTACTGCAACAACCTGGACGTTGAGTGCCAGTAATACCCAAGTGCTATTGCCCAGTTCTATTATTAAGACACTATTTTAAAAAGTATTATTAATTAAGCTGACATGCACGTGCACGTGCAAGACCATTGAATGCGATTTGAAGATTTTCAAATCCAATTCAAATGAACCAATAAATATTATTTGACCAGAAGTGTGAGTATGTTTGAAAGCCAACATCAACCCAATATTTTTATTGGGACGTCCTCTTATTGCCGCATTCGATAACGATTTTGGGGTCATTTGAATTATTTTGTCGGTTATTAAATAAATATTACTCACCTTTTTATTGTCGAAACAATATTGAATGCCACTAATGTTAGTTCAGAGTTGATATGATGAAGGATCGTTGCTTGAAGTCTTTGAAGTTCAAATGAAGCGCCTTTTCGGTCCGGAACCAACACAAAACTGTCAAAATTACCGATTAAGGGTACCGAACTGAAGCGGGGAGTTTCCCATTCCTTATAACGGGCACAAATCAGCAGGAATTTCAGATTGAGACCGTTTTTTCGAATTCCTGAAAGGGCGGTTTATGAAATCTGTCAAACAGTCGCTGACCTAAACGAAACTGAAGGTGCTGCCACCTGTCGGCTTGAACCAGCCACAAGTAGTGGTAAACGCAAATGAGTTTTCACTTGCTTTTTTGAAATTCTACCCGAAACCCAAGGAAAATATTATCATTACTATACAGGAATTTTAGCATTTTGCAAATTTATTAAGGAAAACCCTACAGAGCACTGTATAACGAAATAAAAACTACTTTGTTGAAGCGAGCTATAGGGCTCTGTCTCTAAAAAGCGACAACACCGCTTCTACTTTGGCATGCGGAATTTTACGTTGGGATTGTTGGCGCTCTGCAGAAAGACGTTAATGACAGAATGGCCAGTCATTTTATTTCCGCACACTGCTAATCAACGTCAATTGTTCGATTTTTGTTGTGGGCGCACCGCATAGAAACTCGAGAAGTTTCACAAATTTCAAACAAATCCATAGCTCCAGTGCAGACTTGCAGATCTTTCTTTTTCACGGCTTGTTTTGAATATCGTATGTCCATCCAGAACCTCAACACATTTGGTAAGTGCTCATCGCAAAAGGGTCACCTACACCTGGTTTCTTGACTCAATCAACATGGCCGCTGGTTTTACTACGTTTTTCGGTCGTTCATTTCTTTGAATCAGCTTTTACTCGCTTCTCTTCGGCCCATGAGGCCCAATTGAACAGCAAAATTGGACATAGTTTCAAAGGCATGGCCGATGACGCATCGCTTGACTGAAGGGGACAATGTGTTTGTGTCCCCTAGCTAACATCTAAATTGAAGTCAGTTTGATTGTTTAATCTGGTGGTGGCTTGATTCAATAAATTTGCTGGAATGTAGAACTGCCGTACCAGTATTGATCCGCCAGCCTTGACCTCATTTTGACGAATTTATTGTCCACAGACCCCTTTGCTGATGCCAGTAAGGGTGCTGATGATGATGTTCAAGACGGACTTGTTCATATAAGAATTCAGCAGCGGAACGGACGCAAGACTCTCACAACAGTACAAGGCCTTTCATCCGAATATGACTTGAAGAAAATTGTACGCGCGTGTAAAAAGGTAAGTTTTCTTGTATCCCCAGAGGGATCAGCTGCTCATAGATAAGGACTTTCAGGAATTTGCGTGCAATGGGACTGTAATCGAACACCCCGAATACGGCGAGGTGCTGCAGCTCCAAGGGGATCAACGCGAGAACATCTGCCAGTGGCTGACCAAAGCAGGGCTGGCGAAGCCCGATCAACTCAAGGTGCACGGATTCTAAGCGCCAGCCAACAAGCATGTCGCCGTTCCATAAACGCTTTTTTTTCCTTTCAATCAAGAAATTGAGACCGTGCTATGAACCAGTCACAGTAGCGTCACCGCAAAATTGTTAGTTCGTAGACCTTGTACAATAATAATAAATACTTTTTATATAATTATGATTGTGCCTTTGACGTAAATACATTACTTGTCTCATCTGCGTTCACCGTTTTAAATGTTGTCAGTATTTAGTTTGTCGTCACAATAAATAATGTGATTTGGGACTTTGCTTTTTAATCCTTGACTGAATAAAGGTTTATTGATACATTCAAATACAGAAAATATACATACATTGTGCTGTTCTTAACAACTCAATGACCTTAAGCTAATAGCTCTCCAGCAAGTTACGAGAACGTACAGCGATCTCCATCACTTCAGAAACCATCTGGTACAGTAGAAGGCTGCTGGCCCCTAACAAAATGATCAGCCGCAAAAACTTTTGACTAGTCAAGTAAATGATAAAAAGCATGTCGTTCTCCTGAACTATTCAGCCGCCCTTAGCTGACGTTTCACTATGTGTACCTAAAAACCACTTGTACCACTACCAGTCCAAAACCAACTTTATTCCAAGCCTACCTTCCTATTGCTCAAACACACGACATAAGCGTGGTCGTCGAACACAACACTCAGTCGCTTGAAATCCTGGTCAAAGGCCTTGTGGTCCAGTCTGGAACAGACCCGGTAAAATAGCTGGTTTCTTACCTCAGTTCTTGACTTACCTGGAATGCGCCAGCCCAATCAATGACTGCAAAACGACTGCGGTCTTTTCGTCATTCTCCAAATCGCCCCCACTGCACAGAACAGCCCCCTCGGAGTTCAACGTTAAATATCCAATTTGGCCCGGAATATTGGGACGATCCATGACATGCTCAGGGACTACGAATGATGGATATTTGACCACTTTGAAGTAAAATTGAAACCTTGGAAACTATTTATTTAACAAAATCACTATTAATCAGGAAATCAAGAAAGTTGAGAAGAACCATAAAAGAAAATACGAGAAGAACCATAGATAAAGACGAGAGAAGAACTCCCACTTTAACATATCAGTGACAGCTGTGACACACCAGTGTTGTCAATCCCAGACAGCGTTGCCATGTCCAAAAATCGAATTTCGATAATTTTTTGTTTGGTCGGCGGCTAAAAATCTTCGCGAAGACACCCAGTGTTCCGAACTCTGGGTAGGATTCTTACCAACTAAAAAACCCCCTTTTTTATACTACGAGTTTTCGGGAGTTATCCTTTAAAACTTGTAGTCCACTTTAAGAATTTGTCAGCTAACTAGTTAGTTTTATATTCAAAGTCGCACATAGATAAAGACGAGCATCGCATTCTCTCCATGTTAGCTCGGTAGATAAGCTCGACACTTTGCGGTAGATATCGTAAAAAATCGGTAGGCTCATTTTTCTATCACTTAAATTTTTATGAACTTACAGCAATACTAAAATAAACATTTGTTTATCATACGTATTGCTAATAAAATTATGAATACTAATTTTACGAACTAATCACTTTTCGTGAATCTTGACAACAGCCGGACAGATTACAGGGTCTAACCTCTGTTAACTGTCACAATGTCAACAGCAACCTAACCTTAATCCACTAACACTCCAAACTCAAAGTTGCTTCATTTCTCCAATGTTTAGTGTTCGTATGTAATTGAGTTCAAGTCCCAATAATGTTAATGTTAAAGTAACGTGCCAACAGACAATTGCAAGCTTATCAACACCCACAATGGCGGAGACATTATCAGGAATCCTCAATGGAATTATGAAGGTGGACGCGATGGAAGAGGCTTTCAGTTGCTTTCTAGTGCATCGGTCTGAAACCGAGCGGGAGAACATTGCGAAATGGCAGCAGGAACTGTGCGATTTCTTCGAAGGCCTGAATCCCGAGCACTTGGACTTTGTGCTGAGACAATACCTGAATGTGACATCGCAAAGCTCGCGTCGACGAATGCAAGTGCTGATCGAACTATTGGAGCACTGTATACGAAAGGGGGCTCTACAGGCCAGAAAGGCTAGCGAGTTCATCATAACCACCGATCAGTTGCATTGGAGCAACGCTGCCTTGTGGATGAATTGTTTTCAGTTGATTAGCGATATTATTGAGCTGGTTGACTATAAGGGAGTGCGCGAACTGATGAAAGGCTGCTGTGAAAAGGCCAAGACGCTGCCATTGAAATTAACCTCGGGCGTGCAGCCCCAATGTCAGATACTGCTTAAATTAGTGTCAAAAATCCTGGACAGAGACGTGTGCCTTCTGCCCGGTTATTTGCTGACTAATGAGCTCCAGAAGATCTATTCAGAGTGTCCCCACTGGACAGTTGCTTCAATGTTTACAGATTATGTGGAGAGCTTTCGGCCGTGCGCCCAAATGGTGTCCATCATTGGTCACAGCCAAATGAGGCCGGTGATCGAGCAGAGCGGCTGCCCAGACTACGTGGCTAATCCTTGGAAGCTGGATCCGATCACTTTAAGGTTTGCATTGAAAGGCACGCTGCCTTATGATCCAGAGCTCACAGACAAGCAGGTTGGCCTACTGCGTTATGCTATTCAAACTCCTTACAGCCGAGATATGGTAAGTCAAGAGGATTTGTTGATTAGATCTCATTCAGTACCTTCATCAGATCTCCAGCATGATGAACTTCAACAAACAAATAGTCAAACCTTGCCAGGCCATTGAGGATCAACTAGTTGAGCTGATTATTGACGCTCTAGACCGCACGGAGATTGATGGGGATGGAACTGAGGGTCTCTGGCAGCACATCACATCTCAGCTGATCTACTTTGTCTTGTTCAATTTCGCCACTTTCCACAACGTGGTTACCACCTTGGTCTCGCGTGTACAGGTGCGTTTGCTGGGCGAGTTTGGAGTTCTTGGATCAATCGCATTTTAGGGCAAAGAAGTGCGTCGCGGCAGGGACCAACTGATGTGGGTGCTATTGCAATTCCTCTCCGGCTCAATCCAGCGAAACCCAGTCACCAACTTCTTCTCAGTATTGAAACTCTACGAGGCTCTTTTCCCCGAGCACGAGCTGCCCTCGCCAGTTCCCGACTTCAACCAGCCGCAATGCACCAGGCAAATGGCCATGGCGTGCATCTGGATCCACATATCGCGCAAAGCAAGTCACACTTCTTCGAGGCAAAGCCCAAATGTTATTCGGACTGTTTCAGGTGCAGTCCGAGGGCGCTGACATTAGCCTGCCTTTGCCCAACAAACTGAAAGCGCATTTGGAGTTCATCCAGCACCTGACCACACCCAGCAGCAATTCATTTGTTACTGGCACTGATTACAGAGTGGCGTTGCTCTGCAATGCTTACAGCACTTACCAAGAGTTTTTCAAGTGAGTTTTTTTGCGGTTTAGACAGCTTTTATTGAGCTGCTGAAAGGGGCGGCAGTTTATGAACACCTACTTGAATGAGTCGAGATTTAGGCACGCGGCAATTTTAAACAAACGAAAATGTGTCTTAAGTTTAAGGTACTTACCGAAATGCTGCCATTCTATTATTAGGTGATAGTGACGACTTTAAAAGGCTCCAATGAACGGTGTGTTTACGTTCTGGCTGTCACTCGCTAGCCGAATCAACTGGTCGCGCATCATCGACAAAGATCGGCTCGTGCGTAGTAGCATTGCCAGCTACTCTTCGGCCTAACCTCAAATTTGCGTCGCAATGGCGATTTGTAAAACGGGATTGTCCGTTCTGAAAAACTCACGCATCACCGGAACTTTGGTACCGAAGGGAAGCTGGAAGTTTCTTGTTTCGGAAAATGCTCACCAGGCACCGGTTTTTTTGGATTTTAATGTTTTTTTCGTATTTTGCGAGCGCGGTTGACGCACTGTGTCAAACAGTCGATGACCCAGGCGAAACTGACGGTGTTGCCGCACAGCCTTTGAAAAGAACGCAGCAGCAAGTGGTGGTATAGCCGTCGTACATTCTCACGTATACAGGGTTATTCACGTTTGATTTTAAAAAAGTACTATTCTATGAATTGTCCGACGCCTACCGAGCGCACATTTAAAAAATATTTTCGTAATGTACAGGGTGCCCCAAAAGCTCCAAAGATATCAAAGTTGCGTTTTTTTAAATGGAATGTCCTGT